AAATTATGGATATGATTCATTTTCAGAAAGTAAAAGTTCGTAAGTTCTAGAAAAAATTGTCAAATATACTTTAGTACTAAGTACATCATTTTCAAGAATAATTTTTACAACTGCAAAGCGCAAATTTTATCTAATATCTTAAATTCTTTTCTGCCCGTTAAAAATTTCTTCATGCACCTTATGAATAATGTTTCTGATTAAAAAATTATTTAGTTTAACTTTTAAAATTATATTTAAGAATTAAAAAAATAGTTAAGAAACTCTTTTAAAATTCATTAAACTTTAATTAAAATTTAGAGAGATTTTTAACCATTTTTAAAAAGTTACATTTAAGGATAAAGTTAAATTGACCCAAATATATTGGATGTGAATTGCTTTTTGAAAAACAAATTTCTACTATAAATCTTTAAAGCTGCACCATTATTCTCTGTATTTGAATGTAAAATGTCAACAGCCTTAATTAGATCACATTTGCTGACTAAATTGGGTGTGACACAAGCCTTCTTCTCAAACAAATTATTTCACATAATTGTTATTTGCTTTACTTATAAATAATATTAATGAATATTGTGTTACCAAATACATTCTAAACAATAAGAACATTTCAAATGCGAGTTTAATTTAAAAGAAAATGTTTATAAAATACATTAGCATATTCTCTGGCCTTATTACTATGCCATATCACGCCCACTATTAGTTCTGGTATATGCTAAAGTAAGTGAAGAATAAGCAAAAAATTTTCGAAAAACATGCTGCTTACTTCAAATCATATGAAAAAGTACACTTAAATATCTGAAGCATATCAAGTGTACTTTTGTCCTGTTCATCAGAATGTACTTTCATTCTTTTTGTCCTGTTTATCAAAATATACTTGCATTCTTTTAGCCCTGTTCCTCAAAATATACTTGGATACTTTTTGTCCTGTTCATCAAAATATGCTTACATTTTTTTGTCCCGTTCATCAAAATATATATCCCAAAATTCTGCTGGTATAAAATGCTTGTTTGCTTGATTGTTTATTTACGTCACGCTCAGAAGCAACAAGAAGTCAGGCCGACAAATGAGCTAGCATATCACTCCCTACAACACACCAACTTGGGGACTTTGAGCCTTGACATGTAACATGTATCAGCTACCCCCTCCCCCTCAAACAATAAAAATTCCAAAACACATCATGTATTTAGAATTTGAAAAATACTTTCACATACAACTAAATTTTAGGGGAAAAAATGAACCAAAGCTTGAAAAAAGCATTGTGTAAAAGGATCTTTTTTAAAAAGTCATTGATATCTTTTTTCCCCTTAAAAAATTGAGATTGTTTTTTTTTATATTAATGGTTTTATGAACATAATAGAATTATTTTTTTATATATCAATGATTTTATGAACATAATAGAATTGCTTTTTTTATATATCAATGATTTTATGAACATAATAGAATTGGTTTTTTTTATATATCAATGATATCTGGTGGAGCTGCGAGGGTGGATCAGAAATGAATTTGCTGCCGTTGACATGCTGGTGCGAGTATGGACGAAAATGGGATATCGCCTAGATATCTGCCGTGTCACGAAGAGCACCCATATTAAATCTTTGTAAGGTACAACTTTGGTACAAAAGAAACTTTGATATATTACCTAATTTCTGGTATAATAAAACATTCCAATAGTACCTTACAGAAACTAGAGAAATTTTTTTTTAAAAGTACAATCATTTCCGGACATGCTGTATATACATATGCGTGTATTTCATCTTTTACCATACATCAAACAACAAAGTTTACGTTAATTGTACAATCACAACATTAAAAAAATTTTGATTTCTTGAAAGAATATTCAATTAGAGATTTTTATTGTATTTTTTATATGATTTTAAAATAAATGAAGATTCTTTTTAATCGGAAGTGATAGATGTAAAAAGTAAATAACACAGAGAGTGCATTAAATTGATCTTATGAATTCATTCGGGGTATATGAAAAGCATTATGTCACACAACATTTCTTATAACTTAAAAAAAAATCCTGATAGATAATTTCAATAATGTTTTTTTTCCTTTTATCAATTATTTTGTTAATTTTATTTTTAAAAAAATCGAATCATTTACTCATTGAGCTGAATATAAAATGATTTACAACAGTTTTCTGTATTTATGTAACTATTAATTATATTCTACAACGAGTTGCGTAATTGCTGTAGCCTAGTCATGACGGTCCCCTACTCGTGGCCGGTGTGTCATGAGTTCGATCCTAGTACCACTGAAGCCCCGCCGTATAGATCGACTGTCGACGCTCAATGTCCTGCCTTTGGAGTGGAGTGGAAGTTTGGAGATGGAAAGCCAGTTCAGGTGTTGACCTTCAGATATAAAATTTTGTGGTTCGTCGCCAATAACCCTCGTGTTGTTTTATAGTACCGCGTTAATAAACAGTAAAATATGTTTTACGCGAAAACGATTAAGACGAAATATCGGTTAGCATGAAATAATGCAACGGTCTCGACAGTATACCATGTATTTTTATTCATTTTTTCTCTTAACACGAAACAAAAATCGCTTAACACGAAAAGATTTCCCTTCTGGGAATGAACAAAATACGGAAAATACCAGACACTTAAGGTATCCGACTACGTTTGGAACCATGATTTTGCAAAAGCGTATAAATGGATAATATTTTTTGATATATAGTATCACTTAGATTAGAAAATGTATATAAAATTGTTTTAAGAATAGTATTACAATAAAAAATTATTTAAGTACAATATTTTGACAAAAAATGAACATAGAAGGACCCATTTTCAAAATATTCTCTTTTTGTGAAAAATGCTTCTATTATAATCATATTTTGCCTGTATGTAGCTCAGACCTCTTTATAGAGGTTCAACTAGAATTTTTGAAATATATAACTTAGAAGTGGCTTTATCCATGTTTTACGACAACAGAGGGGAGAAATTTTTTAAGAAAAAAATGCCGATCATTATTTCAATTGGTGGTAACTCTGAAAACAATGTGAATTTTTCAAAACTCATAGTTGAGCCTCTGTACAGAGGTCTGAGCTATATACAGGCAAAATAATATTATAATAGAAGCATTTTTCACAAAAGGAGAACGTTTTGAAAAAAAAGTTATTCTAAGTTAATTTTTAGCCGAAATATTGTATTTAAATAATTTTTTTTGTCATAATGTCCTTAAAACAAGTTTATACATGCATTCTAATCTAAGTGACACTAATTATCATAAAAATTATCCATTTATACGCTTTTTTAAAATCACGGTTCCGAACGTAATCGGATACCTTAATGAAATGTTCGAGAAAGTTTCTGTATTATTGAACTGTACTATTGCATCATCGGACGAATTCGTTGCAGTAAATGATGATGTGTGTAAAGCCCCAATTATGGCAGACAAAGATATTTGGGGTTTGTTCTAAGCTAAAAAAATATCATTGATGCAGATTCTGACGACGAAAATGAAATGAATAATGCAGCTCCTATTCCCACGTCATCCGAAATGAAGAACATCATGAAAAGTATGTGCAGTTGTTAGAAACATAATTCAAATAGAGAAATGAATAAAAAAATGGATGACATCGAACAATTTGGTGCTAAATAGGCAAATGCATAAAAAAGTATCAGATTATTTTTCAAAATCTTAAAAAAAATGTTTTGTTTTTGAAAAAAAACTTAAAATATTTTGTACTAAATTTCATTAAGTTTTCGTGAATATAAAATAAATACATACATATTACAAAATTATTTTTTAATACATTCATATATACACATCTATGTAAATAAAATGTACTCTAATTAATTTAATTTTGTTAAATATAAGGGTTTTTTTTCTTCCTTTTTTGCAATATCCTAAAGCACGAAAAAATCTTTCAGTCCCCTCAGTTTCGAGTTAAACGATTTCCACTGTAAGTTATATGTTTATTTTAAAATAAAGATCGTGAAAAATTCAACTTAAGAAGAATCCAACTGTGCATATGCTTTCTAAAATACGTTTTATACCACATACCCATTTATCAAAGGAATATAATTTCTGTTTTTTGTTTCTCAATTTATGCTCAGCACTGTGAAAAACTTTATCTGAATTGATAAGAAAAAGTTGAATACAGCAATATTTTCATTCACCCTTTATGTAATACATTCAGTAACTTTGAAATGATAAAAACACAATGGTTAAAATCTTGTCTTTTGAAAAAGAAGAATAGAAAGATTTGATAAGAAATATTCGCCTTGACCATTTTTTTTTCGTAAGATAGCAATTATATTTAATACAATTCATTGATTCTCTGGGAACCGTCTATTAATCTTTTTGAGCAAAAGAAAATAATTGCAGTACAAATGACTTTAATTTGTGATTTTCTGGAGAAGAAATTTACAACGAGGTTTAATTTTTCAAAGGCATTAGCTTGGAGTTTTTATGTCAGACAAAGAAGGTATTTGCGAATGTAGTTCTGTTCGTCTTATTTATTTGATGCAGAAAACTTGTTTTTTTCCCTCAGTATAATAGCAATTACAAATGGAATTGTGAGATTCACTTGTATATCAATAAATTCATTCAATTATTTGTAATTGGATTTATTTTGCTATAAATACACGAAAATACATACAAAATAATTTTATTATTAATGAAAATATGAATTTGGAAGAAGTTAGAACTTTTAAAAAGTTTGTAATGTGCATTTTACATCGGTAGCGCATGAAGCATTAACAAGCAGTATATAAAAAAATTTTTAAGTCAATTCCTACTTAGGTCAACAAAGAAAAATTTTATTTTAGTTACTTTTTATTAAATAATTACAATTGATATAAATATGTATATACACATGACAGAATCACACTATTAAGTGGCAAAATAGAAAACGATTTTCCTTGCAATATTCCATTTTCCTTTCTATATAGGGTGTTGGACTATTTTTTTTGTTACTATTTATTCATTCATTAAGTTTAATTATTCTAACAAAATAGTATTGTAAAGAAAAATCACATTCTCAGAAATTAGGCCATCCCAGGTGGGATTCGAATCTACGACCTTTGGATTAGAAGTCCAACGCACTATCCGTTGTGCTACAGGGACACAACGAGCGATCTTCCTTTCTATATATGGTGTTGGACTATTATTTTTGTTTCTCACTATTTATTCATTAATTAAAAAATTGATGAATTAATATTCGAAAAAACTGTATAAACATCAAGTGCCATCCACTACAAGTTTAAAAAAATGTATTTGAGCTTGAGTGGATGAATAAAAAGTATTTTAATAACGATTGATAATTTGAACAATATATATATATATATATATATATATATATATATATATATATATGTAGGGAAAGTGTCAAATAATAGTAAGAATTGAAAAAGCTATTCATTTTTATTGAAATTTTCTTTTAATGGTGGTTTTTGAAATCGTGCGATTATATAATTAGTATTTACAAGGAAAAGTGTTGCAGTGCAGACTAAATTTCTTTAAAAAAGAATTTTGATTGATTTTAGAACTGATTCAGAATGCATTACATTATATGTGTGTGTGTGTTTCATGTTTCTTACATCCAAACTTTATTTTCCTTTCACCGACAAGTTTAAATGCAAAAAGGGTAGGTATTAAAGATGAGAAATGTTCAGAAAACTCAATCAAATGCATGGTTGAGTAAAATATTCTTCTATCTAATACTATTCAGTATTACACTGAAATCACTTTGCTCATTGTATCCCTTAACTTTTTTTTTGGGGGCAAACGGTTATAAAAAAAACACAAAATCTTCTTTTTCCTATCTATATTGAAATAAGGGGGATTGCCATCTTTGAAATTCTTTAATTACATTAAAACCAGTGAAAAAACACAATTAATCAAGAAATTTTATTTCACTCAATTTGAAATACTCTTGGAGAAATCACATTTTATTTCTTTAATTTAAACATTTTAATATTACCTCCCATTGTAATTGATTTAAATTACTGAAATGGTCTGGTATTTTGTCCCATTTTTCCTGACTTAACGAAATTTCAACAAATGTAGTGAACAATATAGTGAAGGTCATGGTCAATTAGAATATATTTCACTTGGAATACTTATAGAGTTAAAATGTATAAAAATTTGTATTTATTATAGAAAATGTCAACAAAATTTTGTAAATAAGATCATCCCATTTTGTTGTTGTTTCCAATCTCCTTGGACCAGGAAAGCCTACACTAAGTCCATTTGACCTTCCGGCATAAGAGTGTTACAAACCAGGTCTTGGTCTCCAAACAACTGTTCCAGGGAAATGCCCCAGCAGTCCAGAAGATGAGCAGGAGTAGCAGGGACAAGTAAAGAAAGACTTTACCCTCTGCGCAAAGGTCATTTCACGCAGGTGACCGCTTCTAAAGCGTGCCAAATAGGGATGGCGATCTGAGATCGATTAATCAAAAAATCGATTTTAAAATTAGTACGTAGCACTAAATCGATTCCGTGAATCGATATTTCATCCTAGAAAATCGACATTCGATTTTTTTCTGTTTTGGAAAAAAACTATAAAATATATTATTTACAATTATAGTTGAATGTACTATATCTTTAAAACCCGTAATATTACGGTGTTGGCGGTTAAAGGGTTAATTACTCTAAAACTCGCGAGATGCCTGTGTGTTTAGTTTCCTTCGCCTCTCTTTAATAAATAAAAAAAAGTTATGTTTGTAATCTTTGACTTTTTGTATTTCTTGATATTGTGTCATTTGTTTATGCCCTGATTGACTGACTGTCGTAATGTACTGTGATTAGCGAAATAAATATTTATTTTATGTAGTGTTTGTTACGGAATAATAAGTAATTGACGGTAAGTAAATTGCTGTAAGTATGGTGGGATCACTCGTTCCTTGAAAGCGCCTTTTTTCGATTGCCGACCACATCGCAAGTGAATGAGTGGAGCCACTTAGATACCAGTAGACTTGACAGACTATTGTTTTTAAAAAGCTTTGATATTAAGTATTGAGAACTATAAGCTCTCTCTCTATATTATCCATTTTCTAAACTTTTTAATGTAACAAATACATTTAGAAAATGAATGTCTTCTTTTATTACCTGATACTTTGATATGGTACTAAAAATAATTGTAATTGTCGAATTCCCTGAACTAAGATTCCCTGGTTTTACTGATAAGAGATCATTTTTATATATATATATATATATATATATATATATATTATTCATCATTTATTCCTGTTTTTCATAAAATGGATTTATACTTACATTGTAAATGCAAACTTTAAAAAATCGATTTTTTAGAAATCGATCCTTTAAACCTCGATTTTTTGTGTGGATTCATCAGGTTACGATTCGAATTGATTTAAAAATCGATCTTTTTCGGAAACAATCGCCATCTCTAGCGCCAAGGCTATCTAAAGAGCCCTGGATCTCCTGCACTGCAGATATAAGGTCATCACATTTTAAGGTGCATAATTGGTACTTGCGATTTGTATTTGATTAAAATAGAAAATAAATGAATCTCAGAGTCTCTCTCTCTCTCTCTAAACAGGAAAAGCAAAGAGATTTAGAAATACAACTTTGTTATTTTAAATTTAATCTATAAATTTATAAAAAAAATAATTAAAGAAACTAAGAATACATTTTTTATAAATGTTTTTAAGTCATAAAAAATAAAATTATTTTTTGAGATGGTAATATTGTCAGGCATAGTCTTTTAACAGAATTCAATATCTGAGATCACAGTAGCAGAGTCCTTAGCAATACGGATTCCTCCTGCCTTGAAAACAGACCTATATCTATGAATTTTCGTGGAAGTGAGAATGAATTTATTTTTATTTGGCAAAGTTTGAAAATGCTCTCAAACTGATGTACACTAATGATTTGGCTTTTAATTTTTGAATGCAATAAAACTTGATTTACATAATCTATAAATTGAGGAAACAAACTTATTATCTTGGTTTTTTTTATTTTCATTATCATTATTATTTCTTTCACCTCAGTCACTTTATATATAATCACTATCAGTAGCGCACACAGGAATTTTTCAAGGGGGTCCAGGTTCGAATGTTCACCATTCTTGTATCATGCTCCTTTTGATTTTGTCAATTTTCGGGAACAAAAAACAGTAAAAAACTAATTATTCAATAAATAATTAGCATTAATTAATAAAATTAATCATTAATAACAAATATTTAATTGAATTTTACTTACTATATACTTAGAATTATAATCAATTGAAAAAAAACCAAGTGCTATGGGGGTTCCGGATCCCTAGGACCCCCTTGTGTGCGCCACTGCTCACTATATAATTCTTTATCACAAGAAATTTAATTTCAAGCAAGAGAGTTTTATTTTTCCTTGTTAAATATCGAGGAAATAGAATAGAGGTAATTTTTTTTCTTTCATGTACATACAAGCACCGAAAGAGGATTAATGTGGAATAATTCTCAACTTTGAGTAAATATATAATTATTTATACTCTCATTTTTATTTTTATTAACAGCGTAATCTAAAGCAAAGCGCGAGCTATTGGTGTTAGACTTCGTTATTTTAAATCTCGGTAAAGTGACTAGGACGACACCTAAGCTTGCTCAAAAATTCTACAACATTCTAAAGCGAGGACATTAATAGATTTAATGTGCGTCAGCCCCTATTCACGGAGGTTCTTCAGTGTGGGACGTCTTAAGACTATTTGAGGCCCTGGGCCCGGAAAAGAATTTTGAAGCTCTGGGCCCCTATGCAAAAGTAAGCCCAATCTGTGATCTTTAAAAGTAGACAGTAAATAGCACGCTATTGTCAAATACTCTTACAAACGGTAATAATTTGAACGCATAAAAGTACATGCCTCACAACTTAGGCACAAACCGGCTCGATCAATGGCTATTTCAACTAAATAAGTTGTATGATTTTTTCATAGCATTAGGCCTAAGCTTAGACATGGACAAAGGTCATCATATAAGAAGGGTCTTACCACTTTTGTTAGTTGACATGCAGTTTGAAATTCCCTGGTTTTTGGAGAATATGTGCGGGAATAATATTTGACCAAAAATATCCGTATCATGATCTTATTAAAACAGAATCGAGAATGAAACGAGGTCCCCACCGAGCACGGAATGTTCAAGGGAACGGAGCTCACCCGAAAGAGGTTTAAAACTACAAAACGATCCCCCGGGAAACAACCACCCCCGCGTTTAATCATTATTGAGCAAAATCCTAGTATACATTTTATACGGTAGCACACATGAAATTTACATATTACAAATTGAAAGTAAATGAAACGAAATACATATGTTATTGCAAGGTACACACATACAAAGCTGAAAATAATAATAAAGAACATCAAGGATAAGAGAAGGGAAAAAATAATATACATTATATATATTTCACAGCACACACACACACACATTCTTGCAAATTCATCACACACACACGCAAAAGTAATATAAATATAAAGTACAAATGTACCGTACAAGAAAGAAGAAAAAAAGGCAAAGAAAAAAAAACGCATGTGACCACATAAGAATACCGATCCGATCGCACCTAAGGAATTTGATCCCGAATTGTAGAGGCAATTTTAATACATTATTTTAGTTTAGAGTAAATAGAAGGATTTCTTACGATAGATTGGAACCAGGTTTTTTTAGCATTTTGAGATGGAGAAACCAAATGGAAATCCTTAGTCAGCGGACATGCGAACACATAATGGTCTGCGTCAACAGAACCACAAAGACAGTTGGGAGTAGTTTTTAATTTGAAGCGATGCAATTAAGAAATAAATCGTCTATGGTTTGTTAAGGTTTAAAGATTTAAGATAAGTAACGTAACTGTGGAATGGGGATTGATATCTAAATTGGGTTTGGGAAAGAAGAATTTGACTCGTAAGCCAGTATAAGAGTTCAACCACCAACTCTCCCAGTCCTCAACTAATTTATTTTGAAGGGTTTTGATGACATAAGAGAGAGGAGCAGGGACACTCACCTCTACATCATTCGTAGTGGCGATTTCAGCAAAATGATCTGCAATATCATGAAAAAAATTATTATCATGAGCCTTAACCCAGAAAATATTATAAAAGTTGCCCCACGGAGCGTGAAACCTTGCTTTAAGATGTC